GCTGCGAGGGCCTCGCGTCCGGGCGGCGGCTGCCCGGAGGAAGCGCCCCGCCCGGCCGCCGGAGCTTTCCCGAGGTCCTTTCGGCGGCCCGCGGGGCCGGAAGTGCAGGGAAGGGACCTGGCCGCGCCCTGCGGTCGGAGTGGACCTGACACTCCCCAGGGCCCAGGCGCCCCCCGCCCAGACCAGGGCACCTGTGCTCGGAAGGTACCTTGGCCTCGGGCACAGCTTTCATCCGGAGCGAAAGCATTCCCACAGTGGCCCCAGAATCCCGGGGTAACCTCAGGGGGAGCATTCGAAGAGTCCCGTTGTTAGGAATAACAAGCAAGACCCAGTGTCCCCCTGCGGGCTGCCCAGCTCTCACCTACAGAGGAAGCCCAGGTTTCCCAGAGGAACTAGGTGGCGACAGCACTTAGAAGGAACTTGCCAGCCGCTGTGCCGACGAATGGGTCATAGTTCCTAAGATCTCAGCACTGAGGAGTTAGGACCTGCTGCACTACAGCCAGCTGCATCGACTTTCTAAACCTCACATGACTCATCTGTAAAGGGACAGTGGGGCAGCCCTCCTCAGAGGGTTGTGCGAATTCAGTGACAAAATGCGCGGGAAGGGCTTAGCCTTAGGAGATGGTCCTAACAATACTGTCTGCCAAACCCAAAGCTCTGTGAGGACAGCTATTGGATCTGCTGTATTCCTGGTCTCTGGTCATTGACAGAATGTTAATTTAAAAGTATTGTTGGCTCAGTGAATCAGTGACTGTCATGTAAGCAAGGCACATACTCGGTACTGTCTTGAATACAGAGAAGAAAATTGTAAAAGCCAGGAGTCTTATGCGAGGGGCCACAGGACCTTTATCCTTGAGAAATCAAAGTGACACCAGCCAAGTCATGGGAGAAGTGAGGAGTTAAGTCAGAATGGCTACAAAAGATTTGCCTGGCAAGCAATAAAGCCTTCAATGAAGACTGTAAAAGAAGACAGAGAAGGAGCAGTCCTTCTACTTGTATTTCCCATTCACACCACCCCCGGCCCTGCATGCAAGTGTTCCTAACCCAGAATCTTTCTCCAGGCTGGAAAGAGATCATTCTGCAGTTCTTCATAACTGCAAAACAGTTCTTGTCACAATATAATGTTTGTCTCCATTTAATGTTTAACATCTCCATTAAAACAAGTGAAAAAGAATTGGAAAATAGGATTTACCTCTCCTGGACTTGGGCACTTCGGTGATGCAAAGTAGAAGTATCTTCACGGTAGTGGCTTTATCATGTGGGACCATCTTGCAAATTATGGAAGAATTTTGACAAATGCTGCAAGGACCATTATTCGTTATTACAGGACAGATTTGGAGGGGAGCTTTAGTTCTGGTACACAAAATCATTAATACTTAGATCTAGAATAATATCTTTGTTTTCAGAAGTATATTTGCAGCCCTGATTTAATCATGCTTGTGCCTTTACATTGCAGGTCTGCTGGACCAAGTGCTGCCACTGGCAGCAACCGAAGACTTCAGCAGACACAAAATCAAGTAGAAGAGGTATTGTTCTAAGATTCTAAAATTGTAAATTTTGACAGTATCATAAATCTGCCCCCTCCTGTTTTTTTTGTTGTTTTACTTTTTGGTACCAGGAATCAAACTCAGGACCTCGTGCTTGCCAGTCAGGCATTTGTGCCCCTGAGCTATATCCCCGGCCCTCCTACTGTTTTTAGAAGCCTTGCTCTAAGCAAAAGTCAGAGTCACCTAACTTCATGCTTTTTTTTCTGCAACGGAATCACATACCTAAAACACATACACAGGAACATTCCTCAAGAAAACCACTTTGTAAAATAGGATAATGAAGTTTTAAGGATTAGGGTTAAAGATTGTTCAAGCCAGAAATGAGTCCTTTGCACGAGATATTTTTCCAGAGTGCTATGTCCTGAAGTTTGACTTCCTAGTCAGCTGACCTGAGCGACTGTAGAAAACATTCATCTCCAAGGTTGCCCCAGGATACACAGGCAGATGTTGACAAACTGCTCTAGCCCAACAAATCCGTATTTGTAGAATTCCTGAGGACTTTTACAGCATCTTTTGTTGTGCTCATATATGCAGAACTAAAAACAAAGATTGTGTGAGAAATTGACACTGCTATTTCTCTATTCCTATAAGTAGTCAATGTCTGCACTTAGCTATACTACAAAGTAGAGTTAAAAGGTAGATATAATTGTTAAATCATCCAGTAATGCTTTCATTGGGTATTTGGTTTATAAACAGTTCTCACAATTTTAGATTTTTACAGTGAAAGCCATTCTAAATCTGTCCTGCTTACTTTTGTTTACTTACAAAATCAAATCCAGTCTTTTTTTTATCCGAAGGAATTTCTAAGAGTTTTTTTCTTTTATGGAGGTAAAATACACATAACATACAATTAACCAGTTTAAAGTGTGCAATTTGGTGGTATTTAGTATATTCACTGTATTGTGCTACCATTACATCAACTTTTAGAACTCTTTCATCGCTCTTGAAAAGTGCCCGTACCCCTTTAGTAACCACTCCCCACCCCCGCTTCTCCCATTCCCCATTCTCCTCTGATCTGCTGTCTGTCTTGGTGGATTTGCCTGGTCTGTGTATAGCATAAAAAGGAACCCTACCCTCTGTGGGCTGTAGTGTCAGGTTTCTTTCACTTGGCATGTTTTCAGCACTCACCCAAGTTGTAGCATGTCTCGGTACTTTGTTCCTTTTTCTAGGTAACAGGATAATGGATAATTTCAGCTCTTTCTACCTCTCAGCTGTTATGAATAATGCTATAAACATTCAAAACAAAGATTTTGTTGAGCCATGTTTTCATTTCTCTTGAGTCTGTATGTCTAGGAGTAATGCCAGGTCATACAAAAGTTACATGACTTGGCTGATTCTACGTTAGATTTTTGAGGAGCGGCCAGACTTTTCCACAGTGGCTGCCCCATTTTATATTCCCATCAGAAGGCATAAAGCTTTCTATTTCTTTACATCCTCCTCAACATTTGTTTTCTGGTTTTGTATTACAGCCATCTAGTGAGCATGAAGTGGTATTCTCATAGTAGTTTTTTTTTATTGCATTGGTGAAATGATTACTGATGTTGAACAACTTTTCATGTGCTAACTGTGCATTTGTATATCTTCGTTGAAGGCCTTTGCCTGATTTTTAACTAAGTTGTCTTTGTGTTGCTAACTTACAGGAGTTCTGTGGGTATTCTGGATAGCAACCCTTCCTTGGATATGTGATTTGCTTTCATTCTGTGGACCCCTCTCTTCACTCCCTCCTCCCTCCTTCTTTCCTTACTTTTATGATGCTGGAGACTGAACCCAGGGCCTTCACACTGAGTTACATTCCCAGCCCTTTTTTGAGACAAGATCTTGTTAAGAGTCCGTCTTCCTGCCTCAGCCTTCCAGAGGGCTGGGATTATAGGCGTACACCAGCACATTCTTGATAATATACTTTGACACAAGATCTTTTAAAATGTTTATGAAGCCAAAATATATCATCTTAGTTGTTACTATCAAGTGGTTTTTAAATTGTTATTATCAGGGGTTTTTTCTCTTGCTTTTGGTATTAATGAAATCTAAGAATCCAGGGCCAAATCTGAAGTTTTGAAAATTTATTTTTATCATTACCTCAAAGAGTTTTGTAGTTTTAGCTCTTAAAGTCATTGATCCATTTTGAGTTAATTTTCGTGTATAAAGTGATTCTTTTGCACATGGCTGTCATTATTCCAGCACAACTTGTTGAAAACACCCTTTCCTCTATTGTAAGGTCTTGGCACCCCATCAAAAATCATCTGACGCTATGGGCTGGAGTGTAGCTCATGGGCAGAATGCTTGCCTGGCAAGCACAAGGCCTTGAGTTCTTCCTCAGCACCACAAAAGCAAAACCAAAACAAAACCCAGCCATAGATGTTCGAGTTGATTTCTGTACTTTCAGTTCTATGCCTTTAGTCACTGTGTCTGTCCTTTTGCCACTACCAGTTTTGATTACTGTAGCTTTGTGGTAAGTTTTGAAATTGAGAAGTCCTGCAACTTTTTTTCTTGCAGTATGTTCTGCCTTTTTGAGGTTCCCTGCAATTACATATGAAAAAAGCCATTGGAATTGGGGTCACGTTTGGAGTTTTCTGAGGGCAAAGAAAAAGCCTTTGGGATTGTTGTGTTGACTCTACACGGCCGTCTTCACAGGGCTGTCTCCCAGTACACAGCACAATGTGTCTTTCCACTTTTAACTAGGTTTTCTTTCAACAGTGTCTTGCGGTGTTTGTTCTGCAAGTCTTTTACCTCCTCAATTAAATGTACCCCTGAGTATTTTTATTCTTCTGGATGGTGTTGTAAAAGTAGTTGTTTTCTTAATATTCTTTTCAGATTGTTTATTGCTAATGTACAGAAATGCAGCTTATTTGTGAGATCTTAAAGCCTGAAACTGTGCTGAGTTATTCATTCGAATGGTTTTTTCTTTTTGTGGATTCTCTGAGATCCAGAGGATGTAGACATACAGATACAGATGCAGATGTAGAGACAGAGCTCCCCGTGATGTAAGGGGTTCAGTCTTCGTTTCCAGTTTGGATGCCCTTTTCTTGATCCTAAGTGGTTGCGCTGACCAGGACTCAGTGCTGTGTCGAGCAGCAGTAGTGAAAGCTCCTTGTCTTGTTTCGGATCTTCAGGAAGCTGCTGGTCTCAGTTCACACCAAGTACAGTATTAGTCCTGGGCTTCCCCATAACTGCCCTTGGTCATAGTAAGGAAGTTCCTGTCTACCATTGGTTTGTTGGGTGGTTTTACCATGAAAGGGTAGGTAGGTCTGTTTCATTAAAAATGTAAGTAATGAGGTCTTGACTTAAAAAAAAATATGCCAGGAGATTTCACTTGGACTTTTGATTCTTCCATTCCTGTGTAAGCTAATGTGACCACATTCTTCTAGGTGGTGGACATAATGAGAGTCAACGTGGATAAGGTATTGGAAAGAGACCAGAAGCTCTCTGAGTTAGACGACCGTGCGGATGCGCTGCAAGCAGGAGCTTCTCAGTTTGAAACAAGTGCTGCCAAGTTGAAGAGGAAGTATTGGTGGAAGAACTGCAAGGTAATTCTCTCTTAACTGACTTTTATGTGAAATCTCCCTTTCCATTCTCAGAGGCCTGGTGGAGGGTACAAATACTGGATTTCTGTGACTCTGGAAAGCGGGTTTGACTTCCTACATGCAGACCTGTGAGTGAGCTGTGAGTCTTACAGACAGACTGCATTCCTTTCCTTGCCCGCCACTAAGAATCCTCATGTTCTGTGGCTGATCTGACGCGGTGCACTAAACAGTATAACAGGGGTGTCCTGCACCCACCAGGCACGACCACTTGGTCAATGTGCGGGTGGTTCTGCAAGTCGCTCCAGAGCCAAGGGAAAGAAACAGAAAGTCATCGTGCTCAGCAGGAGAAGGCAGCCACACGCAGAACACAGTCTGCAGCGCATTTTATAGAGCTAGCAAATAACTACGTGCCAGTCAGATCATAATATATCCTTTCCCCTGTCTTCTCCAGCAGTGACACTGAGACACATGGGAGATAAGCCTCGTCACCCCGCCTTCTGTGGAACATTTATACACGTGAACAGATACCTTGCTAGAGGCCACAGATCTTTGCCACACATTTCAAACAGCAGTTAGGTAAAGTTTAGGCCCTAATTGAGACCTTTAAATGTAGGTGTTAGAAGTGATGAGTTGTTCCAGATTGTAGCACACCTTCATTGCTAGAATAACATTATAGAATGTTCCTCAGTAAGTGTGGTACGTCTTTTTATGAATGTGAGATGGGTGTGTTTTGTTACAGATGTGGGCCATAGGGATTAGCGTGCTGGTGATCATCATCATCATTATCATCGGTGAGTTAATTCCTGTGCCAGGTGATTGCCTGTACAAGAATACACAATCATGGGGATGTAGCTTGGCGGCACAAGCGCCTGCCTGGCAAGCATAAAGTCCTGAGTTCAATTCCCGGTACCAAAAACAGAAAACAAGAGAATACAGAATAAAAGCTCCCTCAGACTGCTAGCTCATTCCAAGGTTTTTTACAAAATTGCATTAGCAAATCTTTTTAAGTACTTGAATTTAGTGTGACTAAAGACTTAAGATTTTTTTACATGAGCATCAGTTCTTTGAGGTAGGGGGAATCTCATTGCTCCTGATAGCTCAGTTTTTCTTTCTGAATGTATTAATGTTATATATTTTCTGTTCTGTAGTGTAGTGATTAAAAAGAATGGGCTACCTGTGATCCATCCCTGCTCCACCCCCATCCAGCTCTGTGCCCCTGGGCCAGCAATTTAAAATCTCTTGGCCTCCAGTTTCCTCATTTGTAAAATGAGGATAATAACAGCAACTACGTTGTTTGTTACGAGGACAAGTCTGGTTAATGTATAAAAAATACTTAGTTTGTATTGTATCTAGCATGTACACTAGTAAAAATAGTTATAGCAGTGACTGTGTATATGCATATACATACACCCATTATTATCATTATACATAATATTAGAAGAACCCATTGCCTTTTTAGCTCAGCGTACCAGCATACGGGCACTCCTTAGAGAAGCGTGTCTTCCTTTCATTGCTAGGTTGATGTCAGTGGATATTGCTCTCTAATGAGAGTTACTTGGATGCTTTTTTTGGGTCTTTTTGAGATAAGGTTTCGCTATGCTGTTCAGGCTGACCTTGAACTCACTTTGTAGTCCAGGCTGGACTCAAACTCACAGCAATCTTCCTGCCTCAGCCTCCTATGTGCTGGGTGATAGGCGTGCGCCACCACACCTGGCTGGTGACTGTAGGCTCCTCTACCTTTCCGCAGCCTATAGAGGAGCCACTAGTGGGAAATGGGTCTGATCGAATCCTGTTCATATTTAGACTGAATGCAGCTTTCGCTCCAGGTGTGCACTGAAGGACTAAATCACCCTTTCTCCTGTTTCTGCCTCTCCCTCCCTGCTTGTTAGTGTGGAGCGTTTCTTCTTGAAGAACCAGTGAGACTCAAGCCTTGCTGTTCAGGAAAGCTCTTCGAGACCGTTGACTTTGAACCTGCTACATTATCGAGCTTACCTACTGTTATTCCTATTTGCTAGTTCATGTAAAGTTCAGTTTCTAGGAAATGTGCCTTTGTTTTTTAATAAGCACTCCAAACTAGAGGTGTGGCCAGCCCCGCCCACATTTTGCACAGAGCCTTTACAGATTTACATATGGCTGAGAAGAGGACTTCCTGCACCCCAGAGTGCTGTACTCTAGACACGGTATTGTCACTAATGTATCGCCATTGAGTCCAGATAAATTAGCTACCCTAGGCATCTGACATAACCTGCAGCTCCACATTTTAAACCATTGGGTAATGAGATTTCTAAGTTGTGCCTTCCAGAACACTACTGCCTAACACGTCTGTGACAATAATGGGCCATACCTTGCTTTGATACTTTCCTGGTTCCCTATTAGAGACCCAGTCCTTTTTATAAATACTACTGACTCGCACTGTATTTAAAATGAGATGCTGGTGAAAGAGTTTTTGCCTTACATTAGATACGAAGATGTTTACTTTCATGTTATTGTTATGTATCATTTTCTAAAATATTATTTTAATCAGAAATAACCGTTTTTAAAAGTTTTTAAAGAAGTGTGCCTATGACCAAAGTTTCTATTTTGCCAAAATGTTAAAATACAAATAAGATGTCCTTAATGTCTGTCTCTGACAGAATTCACAAAAGTGCCAAATAGAGCCTTTCAAAAAGACAGTGGTACTAGCATGTGTGACCTTCCCCAGCTCGGCAGCCGTGCTTTGAAAAGCTGCTGGCGATGTGGCCCCCTCCTACTGCAGCATTTTTCACAGGGTAGAGGTTTGAATGAAGGTCCAGCTGCCTTATACTTGTAGTCAGGGTTTCCTCAGCAGACTGTGGACCAGCAGCTGTGGGCTCCAGTGTGTTACAGTCCTGTGGCCCTCAATTAATACCATCTGTGAATTTGATCTTTATCTGGCCTAGGCCTCACGGGACAGCACTTTGAAATTTGTTTCCTGTTTTTATTTGTATTGCACATCCTGAATCTTCTAAATTATGCTCTCCATGAGGCACTGGTCAGGGTGGGTGACCTGAGATGTTTTCTTTCTTCTGTGTCATAAACCACATAGATGCTGCTTTGGAAATAGCTATTGCCACCTGAGAGGCTTGCTGTGTACATGAGACTTTTAACATTGGGGTATGTGGCTTAAAAGTGGAGTTTCGGGTATGCATGAAAACGGGCAAGGAGGCACTGGGGGAGAAACAGGCTTTACCACTCTGTGGCCGTTTTTTCCAGAATGTTCTAGGCATCGTTCACATGTTAGCATGACTTACAAAGCAGCTAAGTTAGGGTGCCAGGACACAGTTCCATGTCTTTACTGTGTCCCTTGGCGTCACTGAAGTGATGTAACCTTAAAGACGTGCCTTGAGTATCCCTAGCTGTCAGCGCGGGGACATCCGCCCAGCGTCTGGCCAGGCTTGACTCTGAGAGGATGGTGCTCTGTCCTTGCTGCGTCCTCAGTCCGTGTAACCCACTGGCTCCCGCGTTAACCCAAGAATGCCTCGCTTGTGTCTACACTCAGCTGAGAACATGCCCGCTACGATGACCCCAATAAAATGTTTATAAATATGATGCTGGCCCCTGTGTTCCTTGGGGGCGGGGGCTGCGCCTGGGTCAAGTCCTAAACCGGTTCTTCCGCCCTTCCCCCTTACAATCTTTGATGTCTCCTCTTCCTCACCCGCCCCATTCTGGGTTGCCCTCCCTGAGCCCACAGAAGCCTCCTGCCCCGCTGGTGAAAAGTGCTCTTCAGCGTGGAGGTGAGTGGGGAGCTGTTTTGGGTCTGAAATGTGATCTTTCGGATGTGATGTGCAAGCCGGCCTTGTATTTGGTAAACTAGCTAGCTGACCTGCCAGGCTAACCCTTGGAGGCTGCGGACATCCCCAGACGTGCGGTTCTTGTTTCGATCCTGTGTATCTTTTCTTCCCTTGAGTATACTGCCACTTTTATTCCTGACCCCTAGGAATCACTGTAATTTGGGTAAAGCCAACTTTTGTTTATAATAATTTAAAAAATCCAAGTACCAAATACTGTTCCTTAACCACAGCCCCACCTTGATCTGGCCGCGGTCCGGGCTCCAGCCCAGGCCACTGCTTTTCAGGTTCCGTGTTCACTGATCGGCTCTGCTGCGCCCACTTTCCACCCCAAGGCTGAGCCTCTGGGTGCTCGGGTCTCCCTTCTTTGGGGCCTTCTTGTCACCTGGCTGAGGTGCCCCCACCTCCTCACCCTCCACCTCTACCCCAGTGGCTTTATTCTCCACCCTGCGCCGTGAGTCGTTCCGTCTTAATCAAGTAATCAAAGCGCGGGCTCCCTGGAATGGCAGGGACTTTGGTCTGTCATTGTCTCCCAGGAGGACCATCATCCCTGACCGGGCATGTTCTCGGTATTTGCTGGATGAATGCAGGCTGAGGAGAACCCCTGGCGAGTTACCACTCCTAAAAGACCGATGTAGACTATCTTGGGAATCCCATCCATAGTAAGGACAGCCACGCACTTTTCCTCGAGCCCTTTGCATACAACTTTCCAACGAACTGTTTCGGATGTACCAGTCAGCAGGGTCTCTGCCCTGTGCCTTTCAATGTGGATAAGTTGAGAGGCCACGCAAAAGGCGCTTTCAGACTTTTTTGAAGGCCAGGAGGCGTTGCAGTCCCACCTCAAACCTCCCGTTCTGAAAATCGGACTGGAATTTTGCAGGTCTGTTCCCCGTTCCTCCAAACCCACCGTTCACCTGCAGAGGGACTGCGAGCAAGGTAAAGAAAGACGAGAGCGCCGAGACTGATAACACCGCACAGTCCCAGGGCCCTTCGCGCGCGCGCAGCACGGCCCCAAACGCCCGCGGACTCCGCGCGCCGCTGGGTCTCGGCCCTGCCCGCAACTCACGTGGAGGCCGTGTCGGGCCCGCCGTCTTCCAACCCAATCCCACCCTCCCGTGACCGACAGCTCCTGTGCCCTATCGCTCCCTCTCGGGCTGCGCCGGCCCCGCCCCCAGGGAGCCGAGCGCGGCCCGCGCCTCCCAGACCAGAGTATCCGGACCGCCACTCCTCCCCGGTCCTCGCGCCGGCCCGCCGGGATTGGCCCGCCGCCACCCTCCGCCCCACCCCGTGCGTTATATAACGTGCTCTGGCGCCCTCGCCCCCGCCCACCCGCCTACGGTTATGTAAGCCGGGCGCCCGAACTTGGGTCCCGCTTCCGGACCAATGAGAGCCCGCACAACTACCCGCAGCGACCAATCGCACGCTAGGGGGCGGGGCCGGGTCCCGTGGCGCGCGTGGGGCACGCGGCGGGCCTCGAGACTAAGCGCGCGACCTGCCGTCCGCGGCTGGCGGCGACCAGTGCTCGGCCCGGCGGGAGGCCTGCGAGCCGGTGGGGTCGGGCGTCCGACCCTGCGCTCAGCCCCGCGGCCCCGGAACGTGGCGCCCCCGGAACGTGGCGCCCCCGCGGGACCGCCCCGCGTGCGGTGCTTGCAGACTCTGCCGGACGGACGCGGGGAAAAGTTGGTCCGCGGTGAGGACCCCCTGGGGGGCCGCGCGGGGCCACGGCCAGCCCGGCTTCCGGCCTCGAGGGCTCGGTGGCCCCGTCACCTTTGTCTTCTCCCCGCGCCCAGGCGGGACTCCCGGAGAGGCGAGCCCCGAGAAGCCTCCGTGGGCATGCCGAGGAGAAAAGTGCCCCTGAGATGAACGTGGGCGGCGATCGATCGGGATGGTCGTGACTGATCGCTCCCGAACGCCCTGGCAGGGACTAGAATGAGGACTCGGTGACTGTCGCAGCCCGCGCGGGAGAGAAGCAGGCGGCGGGCGTGGGGCTCGGCGCGAGATGGACCCTTGCGAGGACCGGCCCGCGCCCGGGGGACACGCGCTCGAAGGGCCGTGGGGCTCCTGGGCCCAGCTGCAGGGGACAGACGGGGACAGCAGCCACAGGTGACGCCCGCTCCTGTCCACACCCAGGTGTTTGTTGCCCTGGCTGGCGCTGGGAAGGGGAAAGCTGCGTGTAGGGCTGTTCACACGAATGTTGCGGGGGCGGGGGGGGGCGGTAGGATGGAATAATCGAGACTTCGAAGAAAGTTACCCGCGCTCTTAAGGTAAAAAGTGGTGCAAGAAACTGAGTTGGGGCTCAGGTGGAAATGCTGGACAGCTTCCCATCTGTTTGCCGGCGGTTCCCTACCTGTGGGAAAAGGGATCCTGGGTCTGTGACCCGTTTCCATTTCTCTCTCTCTCTCTCTCTCTCTCTCTCTCTCATTTTAATCTTCCAGTGAACAAGAAGATCGAAAGAGAGTTTCTGAAGAACTTATAATGGTTGTCCAAGAAATGAAAAAATACCTGCCAGCAGAGAAGCACAGTAAACCAAGCACCCTAGATGCCCTCAACTATGCCCTTCGCTGTGTACACAACGTGCAAGGTAAATGAGCTGCGGGGAAAACCAGTGTGGGTGCCCCGCCACGCACGCTGCAAGTTAGTCACAGGTGGAGTTTGAACTTCCTCTGCAAGATGAGCAAATTTAATAGTAGTTTCTTTAGTGCCTTCAGAAGAACCTGATCTGTCTTAAAAGTTTAGTACCTGTGCAGTGTTTTGCTGATTTGTTGCAAGAGACAGACAAGAGTTTAGCATAAGCGCATCTTGAAGACTGACTTTTAAAAGGAGCATTGTCTTCCTTGGAAGTTATAAGAGAAAATATATTTGACTAAAAATACATTTCTCTGTTATACACGACTAAAAATACATTTCTCTGTTATGCACTTTGAAAATGCAATCATGTTATGTGAAGAATTTACCACATTAACGATGAAGTGTTTTTCTTCTTCTGACTTTTCTCCTCAAGGGATTTGATAAAGTTGTGTTGTCTTCAGCACAAAGCTATATGCTTCATCTGTGATATATAGTTTCTGAATGCTGGAGTAATGTTTCCACCATAAAACCCGTGTGTGAATCTGGAACTTTCAATTTCATTAACTTGTTTTAGTACATTAAATGTATCTTAGCCGGTCATGGTGGTGCACGTCTGTACTCCCAGCACCTGGGAGGCTGAGGCAGGAGGATCATTGGGAGTTTGAGGCCAGCCTGTCAACAAAGTGAGCTCAAGGCCAGCCTGAACTGCATAGCAAAACCCTGTCTCAAAAAGACAAAAAAAAAAAAGTGTATCTTATGACTTGTGACGTAGACCATGCAGAATTAATAAAATTCATATTCTTTATGTTTGCACAACTATTTTAGGAGCAAGCAGAAAATGATCTGGATGTGAGGAAAATGCACTTAGGGTGTCCTTATCCCGAGAAAATAGGCCAGCTTGGTAGTGCTAAAAATGACCTCATAAGATATTGTTGTCACAGGACTACCTGTTTATTTCCCTGTGTTTCTTAGCAAACAGTGAATTTTTCCAGATTCTCAGTGGAAATGGATTACCTCAGACAGGTGTGACCGCGTACAGTCCCAAGGAGCTGGCCACCATTGCTGCAGAGCACACTTCCAAGAACACAGTAAGGGCTCACGAATCTTGCTGTCTCAAAGCTCGTGGCTTTTCCTAAGGACTCTCTGTCCTCTTGTTGCATATTTTTAAAAAATAGTAACTGAGAGTCAGTAACCACAATTTGAAGTAACTAAAGGAGAAAACTGCTACAGAGGCATCATGTGGTTTCTCTTGCCCTGGCCAGAGAAAACATCTAAAAACAGCCGCAGCACTCCGTGTGCTGGGTAGTATTTCATTCACTTTGGTTGTCAGTTGCTTGGATCCCCTTAGCATCCCTTAGTTCTCTCAATTTAAGGACCAGAAAAACCTACAGAGTAATTTCTTGCATCTCGTTCTATTCTCCAAATTGTTACCTTCTATTTATATCACTCTTAGTTCCCTAATACCTACTACTTCAAGTTGTAACAGGCGGATTTTGTAGAAGAGGTGAGTTGAGATGTCACTTTCTGTGAGATTCTGGAAGAGACCTTTAGGATATCTTTTGAATCTTTCCTTACTAATAGAAATAAGTAAGCCTTGCCTTTTGTTGATATGGTGATTACTTAGTTTGATATTTAGACCTCAGTGTAATTGTAACAATGATTTTATGATCTTGCAGCACAAGCTACATAATAGTATAATAGAACTTAATAAAATCACTAAAGTTCTGGCATGTGCATGCTATGGATTTTTTTTAAAGTTTAAGAACACATTAGCAAGCTTTTTAAAACTAGGAGGGAGGAGAGAAAGGTAGAAAAGACCACATAAAAAGAACGTGTTACATATCTGTGCCATCTCCTCACCGTGAATATAATTGTTATGCCCTGCACACATATACTGATAAAAATAAAGCTAGAGAGGGAAGCAGATGTCAGCCTAGCAAAAAGTGTTTGATTATAAATACATCTGTGTCTAATGAAACAAATCAGAACAGTGGGGTTATGTAATGAGGTCTGCTGAGGACAGATTCCTGAAGGATGTGCACCTTAAGCTTGGTCTGAAAACACAGAATCTGAGTGAGCGAGCAGAAGCTTTTCTTCAGGTGTTAGGGTGCTGTTTGCAAAGGAGAAGCAATCCGAAGTTTATGTGCCATGTGTCTGTCTGTTTATTCTGTGTAGAAGGAGCCAGTGTTCTTTGGTGTTTTTTGTTTTTTGCATAGACGTCAAACCTCCTGCAAGTTCAATGCAGATTATATTATTATAATTTTTAAGAAGCACAGTAGAGAAAACTCGGCAGGGAGTTCCTTTGCCTTTCCAGCTGTGTGTGTTGTAAGCTATCGATAGGGGTAGAAATCTGTCAGCAGTATTGCTAATAAGTGACTCAATATTTGCATTTGTTTAAATGTTTTTCACAGGATACTTTTGTGGCAGTCTTTTCATTTCTATCCGGAAGGTTAGTGCACGTTTCTGAACAGTCCACTTCGATCCTGAATTGTGAGAAAGATTTCTTGGAGTCCTCTCACTTTGTCGACCTGCTTGCCCCTCAAGACGTGAGGGTATTCTACAAGCACACTGCCCGAGCCCAGCTTACTTTCTGGAACGACTGGACCCAAAGAGGTAACAGGACCAATGTTCGGACATGTGTCGCACTGCAAGAACAGCTTCGTTCTTACCGAAATAGTACAGAAGTTAATGCATTATGTAGAATGTGCAAATTATTTAAGAGCATATGATAAAATAGCATTTTAAGTATTTCTAATAACAAAGACACAATACATTTGCTTTTACTTAGTGAAATTAATTTCACAGGTTATATGTTATAAATATAATTTGATGACCAGCATATTGTATAGTAGTTTAATTGGTATGAAGGCTCTGTTTCCTTTAAGTTAATAAAACTAAATGATTTTCCTTTTTTAGAGATTTCATAAGTTTTTGTATATTTAACTTTAGAGATAAAATTCTGATAGTTGCTCCACTTTCCAATTTTTATTTTCCTAAATGTTCATGAAATTGATTGCTTTAGGGTTTTGTTTTGTTCTTCTAAAATGCTTGTTTAGCTGAACAGAGACCATGGATTTTTCTTGGTGACATTCAGTCCTTTGTGATCCTTACTTCATTTTTTTCAGAGTCACCCTTTATAATTTGTTTTATGTTCTTTGTGAAGCGTGTCTCAAGAGCCTAGTATATATCGGTCTCCTTGATTCCAAGCCCTTTTCTTTGTTTCACATTCATTTATTTTTATTGTGGTAAAAAATATATAGCATAAAATTTGCCATCTTAAAGTGTACAAACCAGTGTAACGTATGTTTATGTCGTTGTGAAACAGATGATCAGAACTTTTTTGTATCTGCCAACACAGTATAGGCCTTTTCTGATTTTTTAACCCAGTCATTGACCCAGTAAAGTCTTCCCTTTTTCTTTTTTCCAATTATGGACCTTTGTGCCCCCTTTTTCGACTATTTTTACTTAACTTCTAGAAGCATGCCTAACTTTCTTGCCTTCTTCTGGCTCCATCTTTCCTCCTTCTCCCATCTTTCAGGATTACGTTTCCTTTCCTCTTTTCAAAGAACATTTCTTCATCTTTTAATTTTCTCTGTTTGTTTCTCTGCTTCCTGTAGTCATTCATTTCATGAGCGTTTATGTAGCCATCACCGTGGGCTAGGAACTATTCTGCGGGCCAGGATGCAGCTAAAAACAGCACAGTTACATTAGATGGCTTGCCAGCTTTTTCACGTTCCTCTTCAGCATTGCCTGTGTAGCTCCGTCACATCCTTTCAGTTTTGCTGATCACTGATTGCTCTGAGACTCTTCTTCCACACAAAAACTTCATATGCGCTGAAATATTTGTCTTTTGGACCTCAAAATTTACTTACACCATAAGTAGCTGATGCACATCTAGTTTACTTGTAATACTGTCTTTCTGCCACATAAATCTCAAGGATTCTACTCTTACTGGAGCTCTTGGTGAGCCCCTGCCCAAGTTACCTCCCTCAGTCCCTTCCTTTGAGCTCAGAGAACGCAAGAGGACCCCAGAAGTTTTCCGTGTAGCTGTTGCCAGCCGTTGGTCCTGCATTATTAGGACATATTTCTACATAACGTGGGTTATACAAACCTCTCAGAAGGATCTGACTGCTGTTTCTTCAGCACACGCTGTAGAAACAAGAATAATTCACACATTTACAGCCTACGTGTTAAGTGCCTCATGGGATCACTTAGTCTGGTTTACAGTGTTTAGGGAGCTGGGGAGGCTGTTGCAGTTTGGGTGCCTGGTGCCGTGTGTGGACCGTGTGAACGGTTTTTAACCTTACGGCAGAGGTCATTTTTCTGAATCTCCCTGTGGTCATTCCCTGAGAAGTGCGGAGACCTGGCCTTATCAGTGCTCTGATTCTGTGGGGTTCACACTGATTATGTTCCCTTCAGTTTCTGTCTTTCCACATTCGCAGTTTTCAGTGATTCATGTATCAGGACTTTTCCTCCCAGGATACCAGTGCCCCAAAAGTGCATGTTCAGGGAGTATGTACCACTGGAGGAGACACAAAGCCTGGTCCTGAGGGCCACTTGACCCTAAAGTAGGGAAGTTTATTTCCAGATTGCCACATAGTACATCAGGAAAGTGGATGTAAACTATTGGCGTGAGGGCTGTCCAAAAATATTGAGAGAAACCATGGTTAGTGACACTAAATTAGTACAGTCATAATATCACTTAACCTGAAGCTCACTCGGAGACGTTTACCCAAGGGAAGAATTGAAAGTAAAGGGAGAAAGTCGGATTCGTACAGCGCAGAGCTAGGAACTGACAACAGGCGAATCCCCGTGGTTCAGGGCTGCGCAGGCTCAGCGCAGCGGGACGCACGACCATGTCGAAGGGCGAGTAGAGCAGCCTTTGAAAGACTGACTGTGGCCTGGCAAGGCTGCCAGGAGCGAGGCCGGGAGGTCTGAAGGGAAGGAGGCGAGGCCCGTGCTCTGCTTTGCCGCGGGCTGCTGGGACCATGCGAAGTCCTCAGAACAAGGGGCGGGAATCCGACTGCCCTCAGAGGACTCTTACTGAGGAAGAGCTGTCCTGAGAAGGAGAGAGTGACATTTTTTCTCTTTTTCTAGCATCACAATATGAATATGCTCCAGTGAAATCCTTTTTCTGCAGGATCCAGTAAGTAGAGGAGCTTGGGAGCTCAGAAATGTGCATTATATTGTGATTTTTATTTAGCACTTACTGTGATTCTTTTGTATTCAGCTAGATTTCTCTTGTGGATTGAAAAAAAAAGACTTGGTTCTTATCACAAGAAATTTTCATTTGAATCGAGAAGAAACAAACTCATGAGAAGACAAGCTAATGCGATAGGAAAAAAGATGGAAAAAGAATTCTTGACCCTAGTGGCATATAAGAATCACAGGAATCACTGGATGTGAAGTACATTTTCAAATGACCGTATTTTTTCTCCCCTTGGCCACCTGTCAATTTTTAGTTTTTAAAGTAACTTTAAAGAAAGCAAAAGATTTATATTTATTGAAGGGTTTTAAAGACCCAGAGACAATAGATTAGAAGGACTGTAACAGGTGTTGGTTTTGTAAGGATTTACTGTTATCTTTTCCATCTTCTAAATTTACTACAACATAGTATTTGCACAATAAAAAGGAAAATATTTCAAGTGACATTACAATTGTTAATATTACCCTACTGAAGCTACTAAGTGCTGTATTTCGATAAGAGAAAAGTTTTTATGGTAGACGAGTCTGATATACCATAGAGTCAGGGAGACTTGAGTTAGTCGTATTTGGACACAAAGCAAGAGGTCACCCCAGGAAGGGTACGCTAGTGGGAGTCCCTCGGGTCATTCACACGCGCACTGTTCATAAAGCCCCCAGAACAGGGCCTGCGTGAGTGCTGTGTGTGTCTTGTGACATTTTTAGGTCCTGTTCCTGAGCCTGACAGTGTTACAGTCCCGGGAACAAAACACCGTTCTTGCCCTCACTTGTTTACACACACCGCGGGGATGAGACCATTAACATAAGTTTGTGTGTCTGCTGGCACTGTGTTCCATGGGGTCAGTGACCAGGGGAAGAGAGCTCTGGGCTGTGGAGAGATTGCTGTTGTGTTCAGGGTGGTCTTAAGTCTTTTTTAGTTGCAGAATTTGAGACTGGCTGATTTATAAAAAAGAGGTGTATTTTGAGTTTAGTGTTGTATTGGTTTTTATTTTTTGAGAGAAGGTCTCGCTATACAGTTCAAGCTAGCCTTGAACTCAGTATGTTGCTCAGGCTGGCCTCAAACTTACAGCAATCCTCCTGCCTTAGCCTCCCAAGTGCTGGAATGACAGGTGTGCACCACCACACCCATCCCCAAGACGTATATTTTTGGCTCATGGCTCTGGAAGGCCAAGAGCGTGGTGCCGGAATTTATTAGGCTTCTGGTAGGGGCTGCATAACAAAAGGCTGTGGGGGGGAGCTGGGGATTTAGCTCAGAGGCACAGTGCCTGCCTGGCAAGTGCAAGGTCGTGAGTTCGTTTCCCAGCACCAGGGAAAAAACAAAAAAACACAAACAAACAAAAGGCTGTGGGGTACGTGCAAGGGAGCCAGACACAAGAACCAGCTCTCAGCGAACCCAGTGTCAGGGAGCTTCCTAATCCCTTCGTGAGGCTGGGTCCCTCATGACCCAAACCTCTTTAAAGACCTACAGTATAGCTGCACTGGCAGGTGAATTTCCACATGCATTTTGGTGCATCTAAAGCACAGCGAGAGATCAGGGAACTCCTCTCTTAAGAAGCCTGATTGTAGCCAGACCTGAAGGAGGCAGAGCAGTGAGCCACGCAAGCCTTCTGAGGGGTTATTTTGTTCAGGTTGATTATTCTGTACCAAAACTCTTCCTTGAGAATTTTCTAGCATGACACACAAGTAGACAAAGTTGCATAAGGGACCAGTGTGTTCTAATCACTCTGCTGTAGTAACTGTGCCAGTCTGGTGCCACCTCTGCTACCACCAGTTCCTCTACTCTCCCTAAGTTCTCTGGAGCAAATCTCCTGTGCCCCGTTGCTCCCTCCATCGATCTCCGAACGAGTTTCTAAAAGAGAATGTTCCCATTCACCTCGGTCCTGCTGACAGGGCCCATCTTTGGCCAGCAGGGATCCTTGGGAGTGGCTGCTGTGTCCCTGTAGACTTTGCTGTGGTTTCAGTGGCCTTCCTTGCGCCAGGTGTGCAATGCCCCAGACTCAGCCTGGACATTTCTTGCCACAGATACGGAGTCGGGTATTTCTCCAGGAATCTCATTCCTGGTCATGGGAAATGGCATTAATATTCAGAGGCCAAACCTGCATAAGTAGGGGTTGTCCCTCCTTCTAGGAAGTTTCTTTGTACACACCTAGGCAATTTCACTTCTCAAAAAGAAAGCAGAAAGTGCCTTATAAGGGGTCAGTCCCAATGGCTGCCGTGTTGGAAGATTCTGTGGAGCGGCAGAGGGCAGAGGGCCCTGCAGAGCAGGTGAAGAGACGCGGACACAGGCCGCCGAGGCTGTGGTGCAGAAGTGTTAGAGTAGTCTGGAATTGACTTAGCGTGGGAAGTAAAAAAACAAGTCAGAGATGACACCAGGGTTTGGGCTAGAGTTCTGTACTGAGATTGACAAAGTTGGAGGAAAAGCTCCTGGAGAAAGGCATCAAGAACATGTATTCGAAGAGAGGCTTGAGATCCGAGTTGAGACTCTGTAGGAGAGTTAGTTCTCCAGCCCAGAGATAGATGTGTAAGTCATCAGCACATAGGTGAATTTAGAACCCTTGGACTAGACAGTGGTGGAGAATCCTCCTTAGAAAGAGAGAGAAGCCAGGAAACATCCATGGGAATGCTTGTAGGCGGGGTTGGGAAAAGCTGTCCTCCTTATGGGTGAAGGAGGAAGTGAAGTCACAGAAGTGGAGAAGTGGGAGGAGCGGAGTGAGAGCAAGATGGGAGCCTGTAGGCAAGAGCTTCCCCGGCAGTGCTGAGACCTCCTGGGGATTCGTGGTCCTGAATCCTCTGGGGGGAAGAGGGCAGGGGCATGATGGGTAGAAACAGAAGAGCATGAATTCAGTCTTGAACATTTGAACTCCAAGAGATAATAGTCCTCACGTACTACAGTTTATTTATTTATTTATTTCGTCTTTTTGAGACAGGGTCTGACTATGCGGTTCAAGCTGACCTTGAGCTCACTTTGTAGCCCAGGCTGGTTTTGAACTCACAACGATCCTCCTGCCTCAGCCTCCCGAGTGCTAGGATTACAGGCATGCGCCACCACACCCGGCTCGTACTACAGTTTTAAACTCCTGTGGAAAACAAGCATGTTTATACATGTTGAGTCTGGATGTCTGTCTTGGGAATTGCCAATGAAATGTTTCCTAGCCTGTTTCACAGCGGGCAAGCAGAGCGCCCAAGGACCAGCACTAATCATCTTTGATCTCTTCAGCGGAGGTGGAGACAGAGAGCAAGAGAAGTATTACTCCCCGTTTCGGATCATCCCCTACTTGGTTCATGTACACAGCTCTGCCCTCCCAGAATTGGAACCTTGCTGTCTAGCACTGGTTGAAAAGATTCACTCTGGTTATGAAGGTACGTTAAGAGGGCTGCATTTAGATGAGACCAAACTCCGGCAGTCAGATGGGAATATGGAGGCCTCTGGACTGTGATCCAAGAACAAAAAGCTTGCTTGAGCTTCCAGTATGGCTTCTAAACTCCGTATGCATTTTTAACTTAGAGCAGAACTGACCTACTAGCTTTACTACACAGCAGAAGGATATCCATGTCTTACTGAGTAACATTTCAAATCCCTTTATTTGTATAGTTAGCTGTAACCACTAAATAGCACTGAACCTTTTCACGTACTCCTGTTCTAGCTGTTGGATTGTTTGTGGTGAGGAAACTAGCTATTCGGTGTATGTGCTTTTCTCTCTGCTTGGAATTAGCTTTAACAGGCATCACATTGTGACCTGATTAAAATGTAGTTAATGAAAATTGTTATCATTGGCTGTTGCCGTGGCTGCTTGAAGACCTGGCACCAAAATGATTTTCTGCTGTTTCATATAGAGATTCTATTCTTTTTTTAAATATGTTAAGAGCATGATTAAGTGTATATTCACCTTAGATGAGTCTTTCTGGTGTTTTGTCTTTTTTTTTTTTTAATAGCTCCTCGAATCCCAGTGGATAAAAGAATTTTTACCACAACACATACCCCAGAGTGTGTTTTTCTTGAAGTAGATGAAAGGTAAATATTTCCTTAAGCCTGAAAGAAATTTGTTTCTGAAAATATGTAAAAATATGAAAAAAGTTACAGTCTTTCTACATTATATAATAAAATGTATCCACTTGCCTGTTTGGCCTTTGTTAGATCATTAGAATTAGTGTTGTCTGAATTTCTGATAGAAGTATCTTATATGTTAGATTTCTAAAAATGATTTACAAGATGTTTTATGACACTGAGCTGTAGGTAGGTCGGGTAGTATTACTCCCATTTACAGAAGAGGAGCCCAGGGTCCAGTTTGCCAAGAATATATGTAGTATATCTGATTGTACTCAAGATACCGTTACTTTCTCTTAACTAGTGCTACTTATATAAGTTTAGGGTGAAATTTTAATTAGTCAAAAGTGAGGAGAAAAGGACAGGGTTTCTGCTTGTTTTGGGAGGTTTTTTGGCAGTTAAATTTATTTGAAGAATTTCTCTTTATTCTTAACGTCATTCCTCCTTTTTTTGAGGGGAATGTTAAAATAGTTCTTGTTATTCAAAGAATTGTGATGGTAGAGAGCAATTATTGCTGATTGCTGTTTTTAGTACATTTAGAATAAGTAAACTTTAGCATCATATCAATATCTGCCTTTTAGGTCGGGTGTATTGGCACATGCCTGTAATCCCAGCACTTGGGAGGCTGAGGCAGGAGGGCTGTTATGAGTTTGAGACCAACTGAGGCAGGAGGATTGTTACGAGTTTGAGACCTTGGGCTACTAAGTGAGCTCAAGGCCAGCCTGAACTGCACAGCAAGATTCAGTCTCAAAAAGACAAAAAACAAAGCAACAACAAAAAAACCTGCCTTTTTCCACCCACATTTATTTTAAAATTTTGCTTATTCACGACACTTAATTCTGGGAACCAGTACATTGTACCACACGTAAGTGTAATGCAGAAATGTCAAAAATCTGGCACAATTATAATAAGTATTAATTTTTATTTTAAAAAATTTTTAATGTAGGAAAATGAGGGTATTTAAAAATAATTACCTATGCCTGCCTGGCAAGCATAAGATCCTGAGTTCAATTGCTGGTTACCAAAATAAACAAATAAAAATAGTTACCTAAAACCAAATGCTAATTGGTAAATTCTTCATATAATTTGTATAAAGGAATAAAACTTAATAAAGGTAATTATGAAAAATAGCTTAAATTTATTGTATTAAATATTTGTGGCTTTCTATACATAGAAAATGTTTATGGAGTCACATATTTCTAACTTGTCTTTGGTCTTACTAGTATAGGTTTTGTGTGAACCTGTGGTTATCTGTATATTTGATATTATCTTTTAGAGAGACATTGTACTTAGATGTTTTTAATCACGTCTGTATTAGCTTTCTGTTAGTATGACAAAATACCTGAGATAATTCACAAGCAGGAAAGGTTTATTTTGACTTACGGTTGAAGGGGTTTCAGTCTATTGTCTGCTGGCTCCATTGCGTTCAGCCCTGTGGCAGGGAAGAAACTCACGGTGGGAGTACAGAGTAAAGCAAAGCTGTCACTTCATGGCGACCAGGAAGCAGAATAAGAGACGAAAAGGCCGGGACCCCAACACTTCCCATGACCTGAGCTCTTTCCACAAGGCTCTGCTAAACATGAACTCTGGGCTGGGGACCGGGTAGTCAGTGCGTGGGCCCTGGGGGACACTCACTCTCCAGACTGAAAGAATGCTATGTTAATCTGTAACTTACTTAGTCACTTAACATCATCAGCGTTTTTTTGATGTGATCTTCTTAGACTTCCTGTGTTTTGATGTGATCTTCATAGACTTTGTAAATGGCAACATAACGGAGGACACCAGACTTTTCTAAAGAACTTACAGGAAGATCACCTTCTAGTCTTACCTCTAGAGATTCTGATTTAATAAGCCTATAGTGAGCCTTTACATCTGTTTTTTCACATGTGCCCAGGACGATTTTGGTCCAAACTGTCAGTGACTACCAAGATTTGTTAGTTTCTATAACCATTTCTGCACAAGACAGGGACTTAAATTGTTGCTTTGGTAAATGCTTTTTCATGAGCATCTTTTGCATAAAAGTTTTTTTTATTTTTAAAAATTTTGTTAGTGCTTGTGTAGTATGTAATGTTTCCATTGTATACGTAGAGTTGGTGCAGGTGCATGACACATTTTAGTTACGTAATGGATCTTTCCTTCCCCTCCCTTCCTCCTCCTTGATACTCTTGCCCTTTGAGAACAATCTACCTCCCTACTTGCTATTGTCTGTCTTTTGTTTTGCTCTTTATTTTTACTTTGTTTATTTTGATAACATTATGGTCTTATAATAGCTCCGTTTTCCTACAAGTGACTTCTGTTTTTGTTTATGGCAAGTTTTTCTTATTTAGCATTAAGTAGTTTAATTTTGATTTTGTGTGTGGTGGGGAGGTTAACCCAGGATCTTGGAGAAGCTGGGCAAGTAAATGGCAACATAATGAACACTGAGCTACATTCCCAGGCCAAGAAGTATTTTTAAAAATACATAGTGTAAAAGTTATTTGATGAATGTACACACTTCCTGTGGTGTGCATCTGTCCCAGAGCAGTGCCTTTGCTGGGTTACCTACCTCAGGATCTGATTGGGACGTCGATCCTAACATACCTGCACCCAGAAGACCGTCCTCTGATGGTTGCCATACACCAGAAAGGTAAGACTTGCCGCTCTACAAGAGAAATTTTTATTGCCCCTAATTTGTTCTAATTTTTCAGTTCATTGCTCTCCAAAGCTTAATCTTTAAGCAGATAAGTAATATATTGAAGCTGCTAAAAGTTTTTTCTTAACATGCTAAAATATTTAAAATACGTAATTTTAAAAGCACTGTTTGAAGGTAAATTTGAGAAATTATTACATGCAGACACTAATAAAGAAAAAAACCCGAGAAATTATGAACAAAGCATCCAAGAACTCTGGGATGCTGTTAAAAGCCAAACTTAGAAGTTTTTGGTGTAAAAGAGGGCACTGAGGTTCAAATGAATGGCGTAGCAGATCTGTTTAATGAAATAATAACAGAAAACGTTCTAAATCTTGAGGCAGATATAGGCATCCAGATGTAGGGGCACTTAGAACTCCAGACAGACACCACCTCCCGCATCACATTGGAGTTAGAACGGCAAGAATACAGAGTAAGGGAAGAGTCTTGAAAGCTGCAAAGGTGAAACACCAAGTCACTTACAGAGGCAGACCCGTCAGAGTAACTCTAGGCTTCTTTGCAGAGACTCCAAAGGCCAGAAGGGCATGGAATGATGTATTTCAAGCCCTGAGTAAAAATAACTGCCAACCTCAATTATGATATCTAGCAAAGCTATCCTTCAAAATTGGAGAAATAAAAACCTTCCAAGGTAAGGGTAAACTAAAAAAATAAGTAAATAAATGACCACTGAGCCCACATTACAGAAGATACTAAAGGAATCCTACATAGAGAAGAGGAAGAATAGACAAGCTATTGTGAATTAGGAAAGAATCAAACATTAGAAAGGTTATATATACATCTCTGTAATAGTTCTGAATGTAAATGTCTTAATTTTCTAATTAAAAGACATACTGGCAGATTGGGTTAAAAACAAGACGCAATTCTTTGCTGTCTTAAAGATGTACCTCAAGGAAAGACATGCACAAACTAAAAGTGAAAGATAGCTGAGACAAAGAGGGCCACCACATACTGGTAAAAAGAACAATCTCCAAGAAGATAGAACAAATGTAGACACATATGTACCAGATACTGGTGTGCCTGATTTCAGAAAACAAACATCACCTGACATAAATGGACACATAGGACCCAATACAATGATACTGGGTAACTGCAACACTCCTATGTCACCAACAGATGGGTAGTCCAAACAAAAAAAGTCAAGGAAGAAACAGCAGAGGTAAGCTACACTAATCAAATGGACTTAACAAATACCTGCAGAACACTCTTACCGAGCAACTGCAGATATTCTTCTCAGCAGCTGATGTTTGAATGTTCTCAAAACCATATCATATCCTAAGCCATAAAGCAAACTTTAACAAATACAAAAAATTGAAATAATTTCTTGCATCTTATTAGATTGTAATGTAATGAAAGTAGAAATGGAAATCAACAGCAGGAGAGACTATAGAAACTATACAAACACATGGAGATTAAATAATATAGTTTTGAAAGATCTGTAGACCATTGAAAAAATCATGGAGAAAATTTTAAAGTTCCTAGAATAAAATGGAAACACAACATAACAGAATCTCTGAGACAGAGCAAAAGCAATTTTAAGAGAAAATTACAGCTGTAAGTGCCTACCTTAAAAAAGTCAGATCTCAAATAAACTATGATCATCTGAAAGTCTTATAAAAAGAACAAACCAAAACCAATTCTAATAAAAGGAAAAAAATTCTGAATATGAGAGCTGAAATTAGTAAGATAAAGATTAAAGGAACAATACACATGATCAATGAAGCAAAAAGTTCTTTGAAATAAGATTGTGAATCTATAGCCAGACTAACCAAAAAAGGAAAGATCTGAATTGATACAGTCAGAGATGAGAAAAGAGTAGACACCACTGACACTACCGAAGCCCAGAGGGTTTTTAGGAGCCACTTTGAAAACCTGTATTCTAACAAATTGGAAAACCTGGAAGAAATGGGTAAGTTTCTGGACACATGACCTACCAGAGCTGAACCAAAAGGAGTTTAAAAACCCAGACAGATCAGTAACAAGCAGTGAAAAAGAGCTAACATCAGTGCTCCTCAAAACTGCTTCATGAAATAGAAAGAAACATGTCCAAACTCAGTATCACCCAGATTCCAACACTGGACAAAGACACAAAAAGAAAAGAAAACTGTAAACCAATAGCCATGATGAACATAGTGTAAAAATCCTTACTAAAGTACAAGCAAACTGAGTTCAACAACAGATTACAAAGATCATACACCATGGTCAAGTTGGTTTCATTACAGTGATGCAAGGATGGTTCAGCGTAACAAATACGTGAACACAACTACATAATTATAACCAAAGAAAAAAGTTACATGATCATCTCATTAGATGTAGAAAAGCCTTTGAAAAAAATCATCTGTTTATCATAAAAGCCCTAAAGAATCTAGGTGATCAATGAAGGACAGTCTGTCAGTATATTAAAGGCTGAATACAACAAACTCACAGCCAACCTCATTCTGAAGGGCGGGGGTGTCCGTTCTCAGTACTTCTGTTCAATATAGTTTTGAAGTTTTAGATAGCGTAATCAGGAAAAAGAAGTAAAAGGGATACAAATAAGAAGAAAATCAAGTTATCTTTGTAGATGATATGGTCCTGTATTTTGAGAACTCTAAAACCCTTCTGAAAGACTTTCAGAGCTGATAAATTCAACAAAGTAGCAGGATATAAAATCGGTCTTTAAAAATGAATAGCTTCTCTATACACCAGTGATGGACCAGCTGAGAAAGAAATCAGGAAAACAATTCTATTCGCAGTAGCTTTGAGAAGGGGCAGGAAAGAAAGAAGGAAAGAGAGACAACTAGGGATCAATTTAACCAGGGAGATAAAAACCTCTACAATGAAAATTTCAGAATACTGAAAAAAAACTTGAAGACATAGAAGATGGAAAGACCTTCCAAGTTCAGGGATTGGGAGAATTGCCATTGTTATGACAGCTGTATTACCAAAAGTGAGCTATAGATTCAGCACAGTCACCATCAAAATACTTCACAGAAGTAGGAAAAATCTAAGATCCGCATGAGTTTCCAAACACAAAAGAACCACAACCATTAATCTTAAGCATTAAGAGCAAGGCTGGAGACATCATAGTACCTGATTTTAAATTATACCGCAAAGTTGTCGTAATAAAAACAGCATGGTATTGGCACAAAAATGGGCAAGTAGACCGACAGAACAGAATAGAGGGTGCAGAAACATACCGGTGCAACTAGTGTTAGCTGATTCTGGGCCAAGGAATCAAAAACATATGTTGGAGAAAAGACAGGCCCTTTAACAAAAAGTGCTGGGAAAATTGGGCATCTATTTGTAGAAGACTTCCTGAATAGGACTCCAGTAGCACAGGACATAATAGCAAGAATCACAAATGAGACAACATCAAATTAAAAAATTTCTGCACAGTAAGGGAAACAGTGAAGATACAGCTTGAAGAATGAGAGAAAATCTTTGCCAGCTACTGTTCTAATAGAATATCTAGAATATATAAAGAACTCAAAAAACTACACCAAAAAAAATCAAATAGCACAATGAATAGATGAGCAGATTTCTCAGAAGAAGTAGTACAAATGGCCAATACATACATGTGAATGTCCAACATAATTAGCCATTAGGGAGATGCAAACCGGAATTGAGATTCAATCTCATCCCAGTCAGTGGCTGTCAAGAATATAAGAATGCTAAAAAAACCAAAAAAAAAAAAAAAAAAAAGAATGCTGGTGAGGATACAGGGCAAAGGAACCCTTCTACACTGCTGGGGGCAATGTAAATTAGCGTAGCCACTATGGAAATCAATATGAAAATCAAAAAACTACAAATAGAGGTACCATTTGGTCCAGCTGTCCCACTCTAGTGTCTACCTAAAGAAATTACAGTCAGCATGCTGTAGGGAGACCTGTGTGCACCCGTGCTTACTGTGGTACAGTTCACAGTGGCCAAGATACAGAACTAGTATAGGTGGCATGAAGGGGTTTTTGTCATTTGCAAGAGAATGAGTAGATTGCATGTTCCCCCTCATAGGTAGAATCTAGAAAAGATGGCATGGAAATAGAAAGTACACCATCACTAGACAAAACTAAGTTAACAGGAGGAGGGGGGCAGGTAAGGGGGGGATATGATCAAGATACACGCACTGAAATTACCTCACGATGTACACTAGTGGGGAGGATGAGATGGGGCTGAGGGAGGGTGAAAGGATTGAAGTTACGCTGTGTGCATGTGTGAATCTGCCACAGTGGAAGCCATGAATCTGTATAACCAAAATGCACTAGTAAGAAAAGATGTGAAACAAAAAAGGACTCTATTGGAAGAAATACCCATTCAAAGAATGTTTATTGAAACTTATTTTATGTCAGCCGTTACGTTAGTGACTACAGATACATACACGAGTAGCATGAACCAGCGGCTTTCCTCCTCGTGCAGGGGGAGAATAGCAGCTGATGATTCTTGAGAAACTAATTTTGCCCCTCACATTAGCAGGTGTTAAAACGTGTAATATTTGTACTGGTAAGGGTGCATTGATGAACGTTCTTGTAAACTGGTGATCTAGTGATCACACTTCAGAAATTTGTTTGCCAGTAAAAAGACATTAACTGTTCATATGTTCTCCTTTGTTGTATTTCTAGGAATCTTTGTATAAAAAAATAGTAAAAAAAATTTTAAAGGAAAAATAACCAAAAAAGGACCCTTGTAATGAGTGTCTGTGAAGTCTTACTTTGTCTTGTCATTTCCTTCAGTCTTGAAGCATGCAGGCCATCCTCCCTTTGAACACTCACCCGTTAGGTTCTGTGCCCAGAATGGAGACTTCGTCATCCTGGATTCTAGTTGGTCCAGCTTCGTGAACCCCTGGAGCCGGAAGGTTTCTTTTGTCATCGGTCGGCATAAAGTGCGAACGTGAGTCGGTCAATTTTAATATTGTCTGAAATGTTTTTTACCAAAGAGTCCTTAGTTTATTGACTGCCCCTTGAGGCAAATGACAGGTGAACTGAATAAAAGCATAGATTTTCCTTCAGTGCTTTTTGGAAAAGTTTGGCAATAAGAATCAAGAGCCTTAAGCCTGAAATCATGATGTTAGGCTTAAAGTAGCTCAGGGAGGCGTCACGTGAACTGTGGGATATTTGTTTAGTATATTATTAGCCGTGAAATCTTTGTCAGTTCTGCACCTGGCACCTAAAATATTTGACGTGTTAGATGTAAAAGGCAACATACAAAATTTTCTGTATCTCTTGTTATAATTGCATTTAAAACATGTACACAGCCAGGTATGGTGGTGCACATCTGTAATCGCAGCACTTTGGAGGCTGAGGCAGGAGGATCATAGCAAGTTCAAGACCAGCCTGGGCTACAAAGTGAGCGCAAGGCCAGCCTGAATTGCATAGCAAGACCCTGTCTCAAAAAGACTGCACCCCACCACCACCAAAAAAAAATATACACAAACTATGCAGTAGGGAAAAGAAGAACGGAAGGGCATAAAATATAAATTTTGGTTATGTGTGGGTAATGGGACTATGAAAAAGTTTTTTTCCTGTATTTTAAGATCTTTAATGATCATATGAAACTTCTCCTATGAATCAAATTCTACTTGTGTTTATTATTAAATCTTTGTTTTTAAGTTGTATTTAAGTATACTATTTTTTTCTTTTCTTTTGCTAGCACGTTGGCTGCAGCGTGTTTAATCCCTGTTCCCTGTCCATGTGAGGGAATCATGTCAATGGGTCTAGAGCAGCCAGCCCGCTACTCACCCTCATACTCCTGGGCCCTTGCGTTTTGGTCCTTTCTAATGACCTGTAGGTTTTCCTCTTTGCTGTAGGTTTCTCTGATTTCTTTATTTCCTTCTTTCTTTTTTTTCTTTTATTTTTTTGCATTTTTAAAAAATTATGCTTATCTCTTTGATATCATGCTGCGATTGAGATGTTACAATTTTTAGATTTTGTTTTACAATATAAACATAAAAGTGAGAATGATAGTGAAGCGTATTTTACTACAAGTAAAGTACATGTTGCTGCATCTTTATAGCGCAGTAGAGGTGGTGCATGTTTATGAGAAAAGGCCTCATGGAGGCTCTTAGCTCTCTGCTCCGGGCCTTGACCTGTCTCTGCAGTGCAGGTCTGGAGCCTCAATGGAAGAACTGGGCTCTTGGCTGCCCTAACTCTGAAGACTGACTCGTGCTAGAAAACTACCTCAATCATTAAAATGAGAAATAATGTGCCAAGTAGATGCTGTTTGTGTTAGAAGGAAGGACATTCTCCCCACCCGCAGCAGGAAAACCTATTAGGAAAAAGAAATAAAACCAGATGGTTGCTTAGTGTGAGGGCAGGGACCCTACAAGAATTAAGTTTATTTGAGGCTCCCTCTTAGGGGTTGTTGTGGCCTCTCTGTCCTCTACACCTGGCAGTGCTTGAGAGAGAGCCTGCATTTCCCATATTACCCTTTCAGTTCTTTGACTGAGTGTATGTGAAGTTGCCTGACATATTATGAATACTCAAATGTTGTGTTTTTTAAATTTCCCCACTATTTACATCTCAATATCCATGATTATGTGTGAAAGAATGTAGTCTTCTAGATAGTAATCTTTCATAAAATACTTGTCCATTTATTTATAAAATTATCTTGAATGCATTTATTCCTTCCAGTATCTGTGGATTGGCTTCCCTGGTAAGACATTATGTCAAACCTTGAGAGTGAGAAGGTAAACAAAACATTCTCTAACCTTCATAGAAGTCACAGGAAATAAAAAAATGGCACCGTCCTATGCAGCTCGCGCCGGGGACAGTGTGACATGGCGGAGTTGGGGGGAGCTGTGAGAGCGTTTAGCAGGGCACCCAGCCATCTCTCTGGGTCCTTCCCAGCGCTCTGCGGCCAGCGGCTTAGGTGCCGTTACCTGTCTTGTGCAGAAATACCCAGCCTGTGTGAGCCAGAGCCCTTTCCCAGGGGCCGCCTTGGGAGGAAGCTGGAGGTGGGCTAAGGCCATTTTTCTTCTCCTCTTGGCCCCCTGTACAGACGCGGCAGCCTGAATGCTGTATGGTGTCATTGCCCGTGTTGACTTCTCTCCACCACCGGCAGACTAATCAGTTCAATTAAAAATACAGGGCGATTTCACAGAAATTTTCACAGGACTGTCTAAATCTCATGCTATAAAACAGTAGCTTTTGTTTTCATCTCAGAATTTCACTTGAAAAACAAAACCCAAAGGCATCTGAAAGATTTTTAAGCTTTATAGCTTGTAGCACACAGGGAGCATTTATACCATGAATCAGATGAACTTGCTTCTGGACGACTGATTATTTATGAATGCGTTCTTTTTATGGCTTTTTCTTTTTGAGTCAGGGTCTTGCTAAATAGTTTAGGCTGGCCTTGAACTTTCAGCAGTCCTCCTGCCTCAGCCTCCAAAGTGCTGGGATTATGAGCATGTTCCACCACACCCAGCTGTGCGTGCATTCTTTTAATAAATACTTACTAGGCAGCTGCCTAGACCGGGAACTGTTGGGCACTGGAGACACAGGAGTGAAGAAATCAGACAGAAGTCCAACCCTGTGGAGCTTATGTGGCAGTGGGAGGCGAGCAGGGACGGACGACTGGCAGGCACTTACGTAGAGCGTGCATTGTGTCCACTTGTGAGGCCGGGAGCACCCGCCATTTACACACCAGGTGCCGCTGTAGTGCAGAAGGCTCTGCTTGGCTTCCATGCCAGGCGTGGTGCAACAGGGCACAGAAGCAACGGGGCAATTGCTACACTGTCACGGGGGACGTGCCCTCAAGTGACAGTCCCCAAATGTGGAGTTGCTGCCAACTATTTTGATGACACTGCCAGTGCCCTATGATTTTCTGATACTCGTTTCTGCCTTTGCGGCAGTGTTTCCGGTCTCAGGTCAGTGAACATGTAAGTTGTGAGAGACAGCAGGCTGGTGTCATGGAGCGTGAAGGTGGCTCCGGGGTCGGGTGTGTTTCAGGTCCTGGCTCTCCTGCCCCTGTTACGTGAACTGGGACCGATTCTTAGCTGCCCTGGTCTTTTCGCCTTTATTTTTTTATTTTGCAGGGCTAAGGCCATGCTAGGCAAAAGTGCTGTACCAGTGCCGGTTTCCTCAGCCCCGCTTGCTCTGAAATGTCAGGGACCACTGCTGCTTCATAGGGTTCAGGAAGGGGCTGCGGCTCGCTCGGTCCACAGGCATCAGCACGGCCCTGTCGAGGTCCCGAGAGGCAGGGCCGTGGGGCGGGGAGGGCTGGCCCTTTATGCTTCTAGCTCACCGCCTCCAGCCAGGTGACTGGAGAAGGCTGTAGTTCCCGCAGAGGAGCTGGTCTTTGTAAAGCACTTGCCTAGCATTTTTGAAGGGTATTGAAAATGTGATGGTATGTTATAAAAACTAGTACAGTTCTCACAGAAAGAAGGTCCTAAAGAAATGTCAGTCTCTTCTTTGCTATCCTTTGTTGGTATGTCTGCCATTTGCTGTATTTGGATAGCAGATTCTAAATGCTTCAGAATTTGTGTACCAGTGAGATTGAAGGTAGTGTTGTTACAGCTACGTTTTCACCATAGGTTGTAGCATTGTATTTACTGGATAGCTTAAGTGACTAGGTGCATTAATCATTAAATGCTATTTTACATACTTGAGGTTTTAAGATTTCTATAGAAAATTACCTAGTTTTAACGGCAAAATTTGAAGTCAGTCATTGTTGAAGATATTTTGGAGGCTGTCACTGATTTTAGATTTATACATATGTAGTGCTGAAACAATTGCAGAAAGATCGCTGATGCAGAGAAACTTTAATGTTAATTAAAGTTAGTACCTGTTAATACCTTGTTTTTCTTTGTATTTCCTGCATGCCCGTGAAGAGAATTTTACCTCCATATTTTCTATATTTGGAGTCAAAGAATTGCTTTGAAAAGTGACTTAGTCTTTGACTAGCCTATTAAAATCCGTTTGGCCTTCATTGTGAGTGAATTTTAAGTTGCTTGACGCATTCTTTCACTTGGCGTTTGTTTTGTTTTGTCTCACTTGGCATTTTGTAGGAGCCCACTCAATGAAGATGTTTTTGCTACCAGAGTAAAAAAGATAAACAGTAATGACAAAGACATAACGGAATTACAAGAACAAATTCACAAACTTCTCTTGCAGGTAAAGTGAGATTCTTTTTAAAAAACACAAAATCCCCATAATTGTGTTTCCTGCTAACTTTCAGGCTTAGTAAAGTCACTTCAAAAAAATAACCTGTAAGCAGAGACAAATCCTTACATTTCAGAAATCTTTGTCTTTCTCTTTCTGTCTTTAATTGAAATACTACTAATTTTTTGTTCCTCATTCTGTATAAGTATACAGAACATTTTTGGAAGAATTTATTTCCAAATAGGACAGAGAATTCTACCTGAGGGAATTCTTCTGTTTCAAACACTTCATTGTGTTTTATCTCTGGGCTTTGGCTTCCATATTTGCGTTATAATTCCAGCTTTTAACAGTAGAGGAGATGGGTATTGAGTCTCAGAATTATTATAAGGTAAAAATAGGAAAAATTACATGTCGAAAAGAAGTACTGTATCAAAGGTGGTTTCTACTAGTCAATAAAATTGAGCATGTCGTAAACTGCTCAGGGGTTTTCAAAATGTCTTTTATAAAATCTCTACAGTTTATGAAGTATCTGTACAATTCTTGAAGAACTATGGTATACAGTTTGGTCTATCAATTCTTAACCCAAGGAACTAGCATTTATTCTCATATTTTAAAAAATTACACTATGGCATTTAAATAATGTATTGTGGGAAATACCGCCAAGACTAGAAAACAAGACTTTGCCCTTGAGAACTGGGAAATGATCAGGGATTGTCTTTGACCTCAGCGTCAGGGTCGGAAGCATCAACCTAACACACCTGGGGGGTTGTGTAGTCTCGGACCTGGGGCGCTTCCATGTGAGTCTTGTGGTGATGGGAGAGAAGCTGAGTGCACACTGCTGCCGTTCCGGTAACTAACTGAACTTGGCCTCTGCTCGCAGCCGGTTCACGGGAGCGCCTCCAGTGGCTACAGCAGCCTGGGCAGCAGCGGGTCGCAGGAGCAGCAGGTCAGCGCGGCCTCATCCAGCGAGTCCAGCAGGCACTGTGCAGAGGGCGCACACAAGGAGCCGGTGCGTGGCGGGGGGAGTTCTGCGTGCGCACTGCCGTGGTCCTGCACCTGGGACCTCTGAGGGCGTTTTTGACTCAGGGCCATCATCTGACAAGAAACACTTGATCCCTCCTGGTTTTCACAAACGTCTGTGGAAGGAAAATACCACCTTTAGGTTAATTGTATGCATTCTAAAATTGGCATCTTAACGACTTCTTAAAGTGTATCAATGAACCTTGCACAGTGGGAAGCTGATTAAAGTGATGGCTCCACTTTTCGTCCTTACTTCTTTAGAGAAACAGAAATTAAATGTATTTTTTTTAATCTTTCAGTGGATGTTCTTCATTTTTGAAACCTGTTTTATCCTTCTTTTCTCTAAGATGACCTTGCAGCAGGTCTACACCAGTGTAAACAAAATTAAGAATCTGGGTCAGCAGCTGTACATTGAGTCAGTGACCAAATCGCCAGTCAGACCGATGAAGGAGGTGCGCACAGAGCCATCGGACAGGGGTGAGTCGGCCGTGGCCAAGGACTTGTCCCACACCCACTTCTGCACACTTGTGCAAGGAACCCGGGCCTCTGTGGCCGCTCGTGTCTTCCTTGATTTACCGAAATAGTGCCACGAACGAGAACGATGACAGCAGCATATTCTGAAAGCTGACTGGGATTAGAGTGTAATTACAGTGTGCTTTTACCGAAGAATGAACTTCTATGATAAAACCAGTAATTCACAGATTTTCCTCCCTAGCTAGCTGTCTGTAACCCACGACTGAATTTTAGAATACATTTCAGGTAATAATACATATTCAAACAATAATCTCTTTCTTTTCAAACAGATGGAGAAGACCGCATGAGAAATGTTGGTCCTTTTTTTTCTTGATACATGTTTACTCAAATGTGAGGTAAAAACCAAAAGAATTGGATCAGCTGTTACAAGCTTTTTGTGGGTGTGTTGTACTGCCGATGGAAGCTAGGGGCGCTACTGAGCTGCATCTTTTCATTTTTTAAGACTGGGTTACTAAGTTGCTTAGCCTGGTCTCCAACTTGTAGTTGTCTAGCCTCAGCCTCCCAAGGAGCTGGTACTGCAAGCATGTGCCACCATGCCCAGCAAAGTGGCATTACTTTGAAAAGTTAACCTAGTTACATAGCGGAGCCAACTTACATAATACGAAGTTCAGTAATATAGCACAGTTTCTCTTTTCACCTTGGTAGGAAGCTCCGCGTTCCATTCAGATGAGATTTACTTTTGAATCTAACTAACTTTCCCTTCATTTGCTCTGATAATGCAGTTAATACCGTTTCGGACATCATGACAGTTTCTGGAAACTCGGTTGTTGTGATTGGTCTCTGCTTGTGGGAAGCAGGCATTTTACACAGTGGCGATGACGTTTTCTTGCTGAGGCCAGTACTAACCGTAATAACAATGGCAGTAGCTGTGCTTTTCCAGGCCTGACATGACTTATAAGAAGTCAAGTACGTTCCTATAGGTGACGTCACTGGTGGCCGTCTTCACTACGTTGAGCTTCTGTATCAAATTCCTGAGACTGAAATTCACAAACAGGAATTGTTTTCTCCCTGTGGTAGAGGCTGGGAACCCAAGGTCAAGGAGTGGCGGCCACATGTGGTCCACGTCTCTTCCTTGAAGGCAAGGTCTTAGACATTGTGTCGGGGGAGGTGCTGCTGTGTCCTCATTGGCCGGAGAACAGAAAGGCAAAAGGATGGAGCAAGTTTCCTCGCAGCCCTTTTTTGGTTTTTCTGGAGATGGGACTTCCTGTGTTGCCCAGATTTGAGGGGGGTGGCACGTGCATGTGTGTGCCCTGCTGGAGACTGAACCCTGGACCTTCTCTCTGAACTATATCCCTAGCCCTTTGTATATTTTATGTTTAGGGAAGGTCTCACTGAGCTGCCCAGGCTGGGCTTGAACTTGGAATCCTCCTGCCTCAGACTTCCAGCGTACAGGTCACACACCTTACTCCCACTTGTAACCCTTCAAGGTCACTAATACCAAGAATAAGAGTTGGGTATGATGGTTTATGCTTGTAATCCCAGCACTCAGGAGGCTGAGGCAGGAGGATGTCTATAAGCCCAGCCGGGGCCACATAGTGAATTCAAGGGCAGTGTGGACTACATAGTGAGACCCTTTCTTAAAAAAAAAGAAGTGTCAGTGCTGTGCCTTTGTGACATAATCACTTCCCAAAGACACTGCCTCTTACTAGTAGAACACAAGTATAAATTTCAAACTTCAAATTTCAGAGGGACACATAGTGTTCAGACCATGGCTGGCCCCATGGGACTGCAAGTCCCATCCTTTAGTCATCCTTGTACAAGTTGTAGTCCCATCCTTTAGTCATCCTCCTGCAAGTCGTATCCTTTAGTTTCTCTTTGAAATACAAGGTTTTTTGTCCCTTGAAACTACCAGATTCCCTCAGTGCAAAAGAGTTTATTTTAAATGTCATCATCCAAGCTGGGCATGGTAGCGCACACCTGTAATCCCAGCACTCAGTAGGCTGAGGCAGGAGGATCATTGCGAGTTTGAGGCCCGCTTGGGCTACAAAGTGAGCTCAAGGCCAGCCTGAACTGCATAGTGAGATGCTATCTCAAGAAGACCCAAAAAAAAAAAAAAAAAAAAAAAAAAAAAAAAAAAAAAAAAAAAATTTAAATATCATCATCCTATGTCCCAGCAGAGAAGATTCTCTTGGGAGATCTTAAAGTTTAAATTTCCAAATGTTTTCATCATTATCTGATCCAGTCAGTCCTGCCCACTCTTGCCTTGATCCAGAATCTCAGAGTAGCCTCCTTTCTCACCTCCTGGGACATGGTGTGTACAAGAACCCATTTTGAAAATAAAAACAGGTTAAAGACCAAAGGTTTGAAAAATGTGCCGTGTTAACGAGCCGCCAGAAAGCTGGGTTAATGTCACACCGAGAGCGCGTGGGACACTGAACACAGCAACCTGTTCTGGACCATAGTGTAAACCGCAGCAGCTTTTAAAGAAGGGAAATACTACAGAGTATCTTCTGGTATCTAGAAATCCGCGACAGAATCTAGAAAACCCCCAAATGTTTAGAAATGTAAAAACCCACAGGTCGGAGATGATACCGTGTCTTCCGTGGTTAGATGATGTGAGGTGAATGACGTCGACCCTGTGATACAGGACCGTCTAGCGCTGACCTGAAAGACCCCGAGAGAGGCTGGCCTGCTGCAGGTGGTCCTGGGTCCCTCAGCCGCGTCGGCGACTGCTGCCACGGAGCGGCCTCTCCCCAGCGCTGGACGCAGCCGCTCCTTCCTAGAACTTGGCTCCATTCTTGGTGCCTAACGCACCTGTATTCAGCAGGATTGTCTTGGACCCCTGACTGTTCCCCTGTCTCCCTTTCCCTCATTCTTCTCGCAAAGGAGTCTTACGTTCTCTCTGTTGCTGGGGGCCTAGAGGCCTCTTTTCTTCTCTGTACCACTGACTTGGTGACCAATAGCTGTGCTTGGCAGTTTAAGTTCAGATTAAATACAAATAATGCAGTGAGAATATTTTTATTCAGTTGCTGTGGTATACTTGAAGTGCTTAATAGTTCTGTGTGCTGGTAGTGGCTACCAAATCGGACAGCACACATAAAAGACAATGCCGGCATCACCCAGACTACCCAGGAAAGGCGGTGTGCTTTCTAGCACGGGAGACACACAGTGTCCCGCCATCTGGTTCTTTGTGGTGCTAGAAACAATCCCTTGATAAGCATTCGACGCGTGATCACAGAGCCTATAAAATAGGTGTGTGGAGCAGGGTGTAGGTAGCGTCATCTTGACATGGCAAGTTCCCCATCAGCCTGTTACCTGACGTTGTCACTGGTAGCCCTTGCCTGAAACGTGCTCCCCTCACTTCGTGAGTACCGCTGGGATCATTCCATGTGCATTGCACCTCACTGAATTCACACTGTTACGTGCTGTGGGCATCTTCCTGCACCAGTGCAGTTACGCCTGAGCTCCTTTGTAACAGTCACAGTCTGTTATGTGTATGTCATACAGCTCTGTGGGTTAACTTTGCTGATATTTTCTTAACTACATGCTAAGTGTTTTAATTGCTCGTCCTTTCATTCTCTTTCAGGTGAGCACAAGGCCTTTTCCTCCTCTCAGCTGCTGAACAGTAAAAGCATGTACCCTGAGTCTTCTGAGGGTTTGAGGAAAGACCAACACAGCCCGTCTTACCAGCAGATAAACTGTATCGATAGTGTCATCAGGTATGAGACGCAAGTTCTAACAGTAGTTTTTCCCAAGAGCGTACATTGTCCCTGTGGAGCTTTCATGTAACTTAAAGAGCTGTTTGGTCTTGATTTCATACTGTAAATTAGTAGATATTAGAGAGTGCTTGTGCATACAGTTTGCAATGCACTGGCCATTGTGGAGGGTGCGGAGAAATCACAAGATGCACCCCTTCCCTGGGGAAGCTGAGAAACGTGGCTGTTACACGGTGTGAGATGTGAGGATCAGTTCGGACCACAGCAGTAGACATGTTAGAGCCCAGTGGCCCAGCGCGAAGAAGGAAGTGCAGAGCATCCCCGACAGAAGTGGCCCGAGAGAGGCAGGGAGGTGGGAGGCTGCACGGCGCAGGGGCAGAGGTGTGGCCTGCTTCTCCCCGACAGGTATCTGCAGAGCTGCAGCGTCCCAGCTTTAAAAAGGAAGTGCGTCTCGTGTACGAACACAACTTCTTCATCCTCAGAGGAGGACAGGCAGCACCATGGCACCGACAGTGCCCAGGCTCTGCAAGGTGACAGCAGCGCTTCCCTAGTGAGATGAGAATCCACCCCGAGTCCCTCTCCCCCTCCGTTTCCTTTCACTGTACTCACAGAACCCTGCTTTTACATTACTTTTTGTGGCCAAGGGGCTTAATTTGTGGGTGAACGACCTCTATAAACTGTTGGCTTCAATGTCTCCTTCCTGTTGATAGTTTTCTTCTCACTTCGACTTCTTCTCGTGCAGCTGCCGCACAGATCCCAGCCGCTCCTACACCGCAAGTGCCCGCTGTCGCCCAGTCCACAGATGCCAAGGAGGGCACCACGCAGAGCCTGTCCACTGCAGCGCTGAGCTTGCGCTCAGGCGTGAGCCAGTGCAGCTGCAGCAGCACCCTGGTCCACGTCCCTCCGCTGGAGTCAGGTACCGCCCCTACCCTTCCCTGGGTCCTGACTTGCCGGTGATAAGAACTTTGCCTCCTGTAGTTAAGGTAGCCTGGAAAGGTCATGTCTTTTGGTTTTAGATTTTGGACTGCATTTCTTAGCTATATTATTTGTGGATGGAATCAGCTGGTGTGTGTAAAACACATAAAAGGGATGCTCTTCCTTTAAAACATAGTTACTTGGTAAAGTGTTCTGGTCTTATTCTGTTCTACTACCCTCTGTCCATTTGACCTTGGATCCCTCGCAGTGATTTGGTAGATGAACTGGCAACAGCTCTGTTAGGCTGAGTTTTCAGTTGTATCTAATTTGTCTTTGTGGGTGTGGAGTTGTGACGAGGAGCCGTTCTGTCTCCAGTGCTTGGTGCGCACTAACTCGCCCAGCCCTCCCCAGAGCCGCCAGGTGAGCAGGCTGGGCTCTTGGAGAGGAGCAGAGCTGTGTGGTGAGGTGAGGTTCTCTTCTCATGAGCCAGAGAAGGTTTATCGGAACTGAGGCAGGCCCTAGGAAGGCAGCAGGCACACATCTTGTAGAGCACTCGTCCTAACACTTCGGATTTCTGTGTGGGCGTAGGGCTGCCAGTGGTCTGGCCCAGTGAGGTAGGGAGGCTCTCAGCCCGTGTATGGGAAGCTTACCCTTTCTGTCTCTGCCTGTCTGTCTCCTGCATCGCCTATGTGTTGGTCCTCTGGCCTTCCATTACCATGTTGAAAGGATGCATATTCCAATCTAAATACTTTCATTTAAGGAAATACTCTTAGTAGTTTCTTCTGATCGTAAGCGAGTCTTACCATCTGCAGGACCACATCTCTATCCAAGGAGAAAATGCAGAATCAGAGCTCCTGTGCTCTAAACTTTATGCTTTCTCTGTCTTTTGCTTTCTAGAAAGTCCCTATTCCTGGATTTTATACCCTGACCCCCATAATAAGTTGCCTCTGGGGACTGTGATCCCAGGTGCATTTCATGCTTGTTTATCCCGGCATGAAGAAACGAGGATGTGTACGCAGGGAGAGGGCTCCTCTGGGGAAGGAGTGGGAACGAGCAGGTGATAGGGGCGGGGAGAGCACTCTCAAGGGTAAAATGAAAAGAGCATGTGAGAAACTGTATCTGGAGGATCTGCAATAAAAGCAAGAAATAAATGTATGTGTACAGGTATAATTCTATAAAATGTATAGATGTATTTGTATAAAAAATGTAAAGAAAAGGAAGAATGTTGTCCTAAGCTGGTGAAGTTTGTTATATTCCAGCAGTTGGAATAGTGGGGTTTTTTTTTGGTTTTGTTTTTTTTTTTTTTTTTGGTTTTTCTCCGGTACCGGGAACCGAACTCACTACCTTGCGCTTGCCAAGCAGGCGCTTTGCAGCTGAGCTAAATCCCCAGCCCCTGGAATAATGTTTATAAAACTTACTGAAGTCATTTTGAAACTAAAAGTAAGTAAATATAAATAATGAGTAGGAATCATCACTGAACCTGTCTCCTTTCACCTCGGCAGAAGATGCCACGCTGGCGTGTGAGCCCTGGGCCCTCGGCGCACAGCCGGCAGCTCTGGCTTCAGAAGAGCTCGCGTGCGCGGGGCTCACCAAGGCTGCGCTGTCGGCCCACACCCAGAAGGAGGAGCAGGACTACGTGGACCGGTTCCGGGAGAGGATCCTGTCCTCGCCCTACAGCTGCTATCTTCAGCAGGACAGCAGAAGCACAGCCGAGCCCTCCTGTGTCCAAGGTAGCGCATGCTCCCAGCAGCTGTTAAACATCACGCACAGTAGATCCTCTGTCATCCTAGCGAGGACTGGGCGCAGGGACACCCGCACACGGACGGCAGAGTGCGCGGTGTCCGCGTGCCTCCCGTTAGCGGGTGTGGTGCCTGCGTGTAACCTGCAAACGCCGTCCTGTGCGCTGACTCCGCTCACCCCTGACACTGCTGAGGTGAGGTGGGCAGTTGCTGTGCTGAATCGTTCAGGGAGTAATACAAATGTTACTACTAGTACAGATACGGATTTTTTTCCAAATATTTTCAGTCTGTGATTAGCTGAATCCAGACCTGCGGCTACAGCAGTCATAGTGCACAGTAGGGGCTGTACTTGTGTGAAACTGGGAGAGGCTGAAATAATTCACTTATTTCTAGGACCCTTATTAGATTTATCTAGGACCTTCATTAGACCCAAGGAAACAGTTTTTATAAGAAACTGATTAAGAGAGGTCTGAAATAAACTGATTACTTTTTATCCTGAATTTGGTGCTCCTTTTTTGAGCAGCGTGTAGCCATTGCTGTGGTCGAAGGTTTATTCCCCTGGCGCCCACTCCCAGTTACCTGAAGTGGCCCTCTCTTCTATTTGGGGTCTCACGCCCCATCATGTGCCTCTGTCTTTATCCTTTCAGGGGATTCTACCTCCAAGCAGACCAGATCAGCCGGATGCAAGAAAGGGAAGCACAGGCGTAAGAAGCTGACCATGCCGCCAGGCAGCAGCAGCTCAGACGGCAGCATGTGTCCCCGCACCAAGGGGCTGCTCCAGGGCGTGCAGCCCTGGTGCCCTCCTGCAGCCCCTGCTCCCCAGGCCTCGGGCTTGGCGCTGTCCCCCACCGCCGTGATGCTTACCAGCCAGGCCTCTTACTTCCTGCCCACCGTGCCCCTCTCGGCCGTGACCTCCCTGGGAGCAGGGGACTCTGCAGCCTGGGGAGCTGCGCCTGCGAGCCTGCCCACACCACCCTGGCCCGGCGGCCTGCACGCTCTTCCTGCTGTGCCTGCTCCTTACTTGGATGCTTTCATGACCGTCCTCCTGCACGCCCCGCCCATCTGTCCTCCTTGGTCACCATCCTCCTGTCCACACTCGCCCTTGGGGGCCCCGAGCCTGGAACCACCTCCCCCAGTCGACAGCCAAGGGAGAGCAGAAGACAAGTGGGAGGCGCGGAGCGAGGAGCCCCCGTACATGAATTCGAGGAGCAGCTCGCCGCTGCAGCTAAACCTGCTCCAGGAAGAGATGCCGGGGTTGTGGGCATCTCCTGGCCCAGCGAGAAGAGACAGTTGCCCAGAGGCCGAGGGTGTAAGTGATGCTCGCTGTCAGCACATGAGTGAGAAAGTTACGTGTGGATCCCCTTATGAAAGTAGAGGGTCCTGCGTTGGGGCGACCCTGTCGCAGCTATGACTGATACTCAGCCTCGGTCTGCGTGATGCGCAGTGTACCCCCCGACTTCAGTACAGAGCAGTGGGGCCACCGTGCAGGCTGGGTGTACAGAGTTCCTTCCACCCTTTAAACTCAGTCTCCTGCTGTTAAACTTAATGTGTTCATTGGCTCTAAAGCGTATTTTCTTTCACCTGTGGTGATGGTCAAGAAAGATGGGAATAGGCCATGTGACAAGGTGGAAATACAGTGCTCACACGTTCTCATGCAGGATTGTGGACAGTAATTGTGTGGGGAGGAGATGGGAATCATTTCTGTCATTATCAGAGAGGAAGCAGTTCGTAATCTCACGCTTTCGCGTACCATTTTTAAAAAGAAAAAAGTTTAGTAGGTTTCCTTAACTTCTCAAAGCCTAAAAAGGCATCCTCGGGTTTATTACCAGATTAGTCTTTGAAATGTGACGTTCGTGTCGTTGGGGTTGTGATGTGAGTGTGACTCTTCCACACGTTTCCCTCAGTCTTCCCCTTAAGGTATAGATGTTCAGAGCACAGTGGCCCTCTGTGCACTGCGGGAGAGAGCTGGGCCAAGGCAGGGGCTGGCCAGGGCAGGCGACGCTGGCCGGGTCTCAGCTCTGTCCAGGCCGGGTGGCTTAGCTGAGGTCGCTGTTGAACCTTTTTTTGCCTTGATTTCCCTATTAGAAAAGGGGGAAGATGGCCATTGCCTGGCTTGTTCTGGGGCTGCAGTTGCGTGACAGGCGTGTCTCCCCAGGCAGTGCAAGCTCTGAGAGAACTGGGACTTCGCGCCGTCCGCAGCTGTGTTCCTAGAGTTCGGTGCAGTGCTTAGAACATAGCACATGTTCACATACTTGCCAGATGACAAGTTAAAACCCACCCTTGTGTGATGTATGCCACGCAGGTCTCTAGGACCAGCGTAGATGCAGGAGCTTCGGCTGCGTCCTTGGGGACGGACTGGGAGTCCTCACTTCTCAGTTACACGGATATGCTACGTTCTGCTTGGCGTGTGCAGCCAAAGATCTGCCAGCAGCGGCTGTGCTTGGAGTGCTAACCCCTTTCTCCTGTCCCTCCTTGGCAGCACCGTGTGGGCGAGAGCGGGGCCCACAGTGATCTGTCCGTGGCACCCATTCCCGAGGCGTCTCCATCTGGAACCGGCGCTGCAGCCTCAGGTAACGGGACTCAGGAAAGCCCTCTCTGCACGCCCTCGCTGTGTCACTAACCGAGTAAAGATGCTTCCCTTTTCCTCTTTGTAGGTTTCTGAAGGTAGATTTACATACAGTGAAATTCCCCAGTTGCGGATGTAGAAAAGAATTCTGACAGGCGTGTAGGTCAGTGTGAGCACCAGCAGTCACCTTACAGCACATACGTGCCCTTCACTCTGGAGAGTTCTTCTGTGACCTTCCTGTCATCTCCTGCCCGGGTCCTCCAGCCTGCTGCAGACCATGAATTTGTTCTCTGTCACTGTAGTTTTGCTTCTTTAATTTCATATAAATTGAGTTACAGTGTGCAGTGGCTTGTGTTAGGATGCTTTCAGCTAGAATAGTGCTGTTGGCATTCACGTTCAGTACAAGGTCTAATCAAAACACACAGCGAATGTTTAAACTTAACAGTTTATTGCACTTAGACATAGTGCCGTTAATCCTCTTCTCACTTCAAACACACTTGAAGCCATCATTCTTGCCCCTTTCTGAAGCAATTCTAGAAGTCCTTTTTTGTGAGCATCTTTGGAAGAGGTGATCAAAAACACAGTGAGTGCCTCTGCCAAGTGACATCCAGTGGGAAGGCAGCTCCTTAAAAAACCATTCCGTGTTTCCTTGCCACCTCACTCACTGGATCTGGCCCTGTGTAACTTGTGGCTCTCCCCGCAAAGTCAAAATGACCGTGAAAGGTCAACATTTTGATTCAGGACATAAGGCAGCCGCAACAACGTAGCTAAAGACATGAAAGACACTCCCTCCAGAACTGCTTCAGAAAGTGCTAAAGTGCTAACAATGACGGGATAAGTGTGGTCAAAATGCACAGCTGTGCTCTGAGGGGGATTAGTAGCAGTGTGTCTTTCACTGTGACACGTTTCAAATTTAGAGATTTACTGTAGTTTCCTATCGGACCTCGTACATATCAGTAGCTTGTTCCCTTTACTGCTGAGTAGAACGACAGCACATGGATGTCCATGGACCAGTGGGTGATTGTTAGTTTGTTTCTGGTCTGGAGCTATGATCAGTACTGCTGCTGCATACATTTGAGGATGAGTCTTTTCATGGATGTATGTTTTCCTTTGCCCGGGTAAATACGTGAGGAAGAAATGGTTAGGTCATTGCACAATACCTGCAGAGACTCCCTGGAAGCCATTCTTCCCCTGCCAGTACAGGCTGTGGTGGAGCTCCGGAGAAGTCTGCAGCAGGATTCCTGCTGCCTGTGCTGACAGTTGGGGAGAGGAC